TACAAGTTGTTAGTCTCATTGAGCCTCGAGGACTCATTTACAAGAGAAACCTGTTTTTACAAAGAATGATGACAACAGCAGACATAGAACAAATAACTACTGCTGTCGATCAAAAACAATATTGTGTTAGTATTTTTGTTGATTTAAAAAAAGCATTCGATACTATTGACCACACTATTCTGATTGAAAAATTAAATAAATATGGTATAAGAGGACCAGCATTACACTGGGTATCTAGCTATTTGAAAGATAGGAAACAGTTTGTACAAATAAATGGTGTAAGATCTGACCTCTGCAATATCACGTGTGAAGTTCCTCAAGGCTTTGTACTTGGACCAAAGTTATTTATTTTATATGTGAATGACTTAGTGAATGTATCAGGACTCCTCAAATGTGTCCTTTTGCAGATGACACCACATTTTTTGTTTGGGTAAAGATGTAAAACGGATGTTGGAACTGATGAAGACAGAATTTGATAAAATACAAACTTGGTTTAAACTTAATAAATTATCATTAAATTTAGATAAAACTAAATACATGATATTTAGTGACAAAAAGAGAACTGTTGATGATCCATTTAAAATTGAGGGTGTTGAGATTTGTAGAGTTAATGAGATGAAATTTTTGGGTGTAATCACTGATGAACAGCTAACATGGAAAAATCACATAAATTCTGTAAGAACAAAAATATCTAAATCTATTGCAGTACTATACAAAGTCAGGGAATTATTAAATGATAAAGCTCTGTACATGTTGTATAACACAATCATTGTTCCACATTTAATCTATTGCATTGATGTTTGGGGGAAAGCGTGTAAAACATTTACAAAACCTATTTTTATTTTACAGAAAAGAGCTGTAAGAATTATCACCAGAAAGCATTACTGTCACCCATCAAGCACATTATTTTATCAACTGAAGTTATTGAAGTTCCATGATTTAGTAGATTACAGTATTTTATCAGTTATGTATAGGGCTCAAAATAACACATTACCATTAAATATCCAAAGAAATTTTGTTAAAAGACAAAGTTGTTATAATCTTAAGGGGATAGAGATATTTGTCAAACCAAAATTCAGAACTAGTCTGAAGGGAAGGTCTACCACAATCCAAGGAGTTGGATTGTGGAATGGTCTAGAGAGTGATGTGAAAAATGCCAAGTCAATGTGTACATTTAAGAAAAAGATCAAAACTGAATTGTTAAAAAAAATATATGAAGAAGCTTAGTGTGTTTTTTGTATTAGAATTAGAAAAATTAGAAAGAGTTATTCATTTTGTTCTGTTACTTGAAAATTATTGTGATTGAAATAATTGTGTGAAAAAAGGGGCAGATATATTAACATTTTTTCTTCTTTCTGCTGCCTTTCATTTTAAATCTCTTGTATTTTTTATATTGTTATGAAATTGTTTTGTATTTTTTTTAATGAATAAACTTTATACCATACCATACCATAAAAGAAAGCATATAAACTGAAAAAGTAAATGGAAGAAAATGATATTCATTCATTCAACCTTTGTTTACACAAGTTTAAACAACGAAACAAAAACAGCTACATTGTAAAATGGTGTAAAATACTAAAAACAGGAACATGTCTGTGTTGGATTTGCCATGAACTTAGCAGATGTTGGAATATTTAGATATATATCGTATATTGCAATTTATTTTAAAAATACTGGGATATTAATTTTGGGCCATATCGCCCAGCCCTAGTTTGTAATAAGGCTGTTACATAACAAAATGAGGAAAAAGTGAGGCACTGAATACTTGCTGGATGCTGTTTACTACCACATAATATTTTAGCTCAATATGTTTCTAAATTACTAAGTTAGAGACACATGTCTGTGTTTTTAAGGTCAGTTGGCTGTAGCAACCATTTTAAATTGGATTAACTTTAAAAGTCAACCAGTTGTAGAAGTACATTTAATGATTAATTTCAGGAAGCTGCAATAAAATCCACTTGGTAGTTCAGGAGATATGTAGACAAACACACAGATTCAAGCAAAATTATAATCGTCTCCCAACTTTTAGCAGCGGGAGACAGACCCATAACCTTTTGTTCTTAGAAAAATTGATTAAAAACCTCATTCACAAAGAAGTTCAAACAAATCTCTCCAAGGACTTGTCTTATGTACACGTAAAATCAGTATATTCCTAGTGGAATACAGCTCTGAGTGGAAATTGAAGGAGGAGGACAAACACTTGTTGCTCGCTGCTGTAGAGACAGAGGAGGACGTCAAAGTGGCTGCATGACTCTTAAGGCAGGGAATAAAACCTCTGAAGCCATTATTCTGCCAAGGTCGGTCTTTAAAACCTTATAAACTTTAACAAAAACGTTAAAAACTTCAATGAAAACCTTAAAAACTTTAACAAAAACCTTAAAAACTGCAAGGAAAACCTTATAAACTTCAACAAAAACGTTAAAAACTTCAATGAAAACCTTAAAAACTGCAATAAAAACCTTAAAAACTGCAATAAAAACCTTAAAAACTTCAACAAAAACCTTAAAAACTAACGAAAACCTTTAAAGCTTCAAGGAAAACCTTAAAAACTTCAAGGAAAACCTTAAAAACGTCAAGGACAACTTTAAAAACTAACGAAAACCTTTAAAGTTTCAAGGAAAACCTTAAAAACTTCAACGAAAACCTTAAATACTACAACAAAAACCTTGAAAACTTCAACAAAATCCTAAGACTTCTACGAAAACCTTGAAAACTTCAAGGAAAAGCTTAAAAACTTAACAAAAATCTTAAAAACTTTAAGGAAAAGCTTAAAAACTTTACAAAAATCTTAAAAACTTTAAGGAAAAGCTTAAAAACTTCATTAAAAACCTTATAAAGTTCAACGAAAACCTTAAAAACTTCAAGGAGGGCAGAGAAAAACACCACCAAGCTTGGTGTCTAGTCAGCCATGACATGAGGAGGGAGGAAGATGACTAAATCAGGCCAGATGGTAAATATTTTAAGAAGCCTCATCAGTTATTGATGAACGGCTTTACCTTGCAAAGCAAACTCCATATCAAGTATCTTTCCAGTCCCCGCGCCCAATTCATGCACTGTAGAGTGATCTGAACTGTTGTGTGTACCTCAAGACAAACAGAGTCCAGAAGTTAATATTAAATCTTTAAAAACTGCATTGCAGTAATTTTATTTCTTCTAAGGGGTCAGTGCATCAACACTTGCTGTGGATTTAGGATGAAAATAATTTGCAGAAAGACTTCATTTAAAAACATTAAATTAAACAGACACTTTTAATCTGGCCACAAAAGACCTTAACCTGAATAAATGTCAGATTTAATTTTATGGAGATTATTCCAGCTGGTAGGCGACGTGTCTCAGATTACAGTTTGATGATGATTTCACTGCATTAACAACAACATTCATCATTTCTTTAATACAGTTCTGCCTGAGTCACATTAAAATCATTTTTCTTTGAAGTTCTGCTCATGTTGTACGTCTGCCAGGGATTATGCGAGTCCCTCCAGATCCTTTGCAGATAAATTTATCTTTTAATAATCCCACGACCATGAAAGGTCAGGGGTCAGCACAGGGAACAGAACAGCTGGACTCATGCCTTCTGGTGGGACAAGTATTCTCCAGCTGTAGGCCGGATCAATAAACAGTTTCAAACCATCATGGCTGTCGAGATAAACAACGTTTTATTCATCGTAAAGTTCCAACTGTTTAAATACATTTACCAAAAGCAAAGCCTTTAGTTTTTCTTCTTCTTTTGGTTGTTAGCATCTCCTCAGGCTAACTTTGGCTTGTCTGGCTCAACATTACTGAACAAAGACAATAAAAGAAGGAGTAATATTATGTGAAAGAGCAGTTATTACTTTAGATCTATGAGTAAATATAAAACTCTGTTTAAGCTGACACTATATATTAACACTCACTACATGCAAATTTTAGCCTTGATCCAAATTTTTTCATTTAAAAGAATGTAGCAAATAAAAATGTTGATGGAAAACTGATTTAAAATCTGTCCTGAGTGAAATTATTTTAAACAGTGACTGTTCGCTCAATCTCCTTTTTTATGTATGCACAGTAAAATGACAACTGTAGAAAATAGTCAACAAAGTCCATGCTCAATAATCCAGGTGTACAATCCAACAATTTTCAGTCAGGTCATCTGGACAGTTTCTTTTCTTGTGCTGAAACGTTTCACCTTCCATCCAGAAGGCTTCATCAGTCAAGGAAACACACAACACGAAACTGATTCTTCCCCCAACAGCTTACTCCAAAGTGGAACAAACCAGTTATGTTGGTGCTAAGATAGTCTCTTTGGCACGCCCCATTCTCCGGTACTGGCCCTCTTCCTCGTCAACAGTCGTGTCAAACTGGTTCAAAACCAACTAAGTCCATGCTCAATAATCCAGGTATACAATCCAACAATAGAAAAGTAGAAAATAATATTTTGTGTTATATTATTGTACCTATAGGGGAGTGGTGGTGCAGAGGCTAGAGAAGGTGGGCCTGTGATCGGAAGGTTGCTGGTTCAACTTCCTAGACTGACAATATCAAAATGTGGGTGGGAAGGTGAAGCACCCACACCTGTGTCCACCCTCATTTGCTCCACTCTGGGCCCTTGAGCAAGGCCCTTAACCCCCACCATCCGCTCCCCCGGGTGCCCTAAATGGCAGCTCTCTGCTCCACACAGAGGCTGTGGTAGCTCAGTGGTCTGTGCTTTATCAAGCATATATTATTAAATCATATATTAAGATATTATTTAGGCAGTAAAATAAATTGTATTTACACTTTTGTTTAAAAGAAAAAAGCTAACTAAAAATGAAATGGATATTTTATCAGACCGCCCACACCTACCCAGTGACAGGGACAGCTCCTACACCTGTCCTCACTGTGGATTCAGTTCAGCGTTAACCCCTCTGCACACGAGCAAAGATGACCTCATGTGCTGGTTTGGTCTTCATGTGTTACAGCAATAAAGACAGAGCAGCCAAACACCGTCAGCCCGTCGATCAGATTCTGGATGAGTTACTTACTGGTCGTGTTTCCAGACATCTGAATGATGCATTTGCTTTCCTTTTCATACTCTCTGGAGTTGAAGGGACGGACCCTGACCGCCACCTTCACAGAGGCTCCTGCCATGCTGCTGTCCTCTTAGCACCTTTGGGTGCTTTCTGTGCTGTGTGGCTTGAAGGTCTCTAAAAGGGGGAGAAAGTCAATTTTAGTTAACGTGCACACCAACGTTATTTTATGAGCTAGTTATCTGTAAATTATGTCAGAACCAACTTATTTTGGCATGTATTGTTCACATTTATTGTATTATTCACATTTAAAAATATACCCAAAACTCTTTAAAGAAAAGAATATTGCCCATCATCTTCCATTCCAAAGTTTTAAACTTTGATCATATGTTGAGAAATTAGAGTTAAAACCATTTTGGTCAAACCCTGACAACAGAGTTACACATCATTTGTGAGATCTCACACAGTTTGTTAGTTATGAACATCACTAAGCTACTACCACAACAAATCTCACATCAATTTCTAGAAAACTTACAAAATTATTGTCATTATGTTTTCTACGGCCATCTTGAATCAGGATGACTCCAAAAGTTAAACAGTTGTATGCGCATTGATCTTAGATTGTTGACCCCCGTCATGAAATGAATGGACCGTCCCTATGTCCATCCATGTCTGTTGTGAGCATAACTTAAATAATGATTAATGTTTCAATTTCCATTTTGGTGTGTGGCTCCGTCTAAGAATAAAAAAGGTAAAACTGTTGCAACGTCAAAATCAAATAGATTCAAGATGGCCG